TTCCTCTGATCAAAAACCTTCACCGCTTTAAAAAATATAAAAGGGAAGTCACTCGACTTTTTGGGGGTTTTCCAGGTAATTACAGTGTATGAAATTGTACTTATTTTTCCCGACCTAATTAAATTTTTGTATTTTTAAAGTAATTTTAGGTGCGCATGATCCCTTGACACCCCAAGGGGTGTTTTTTGATGGGGTTAAGGGCTCCTTGAATCGAGCGAATGCCTTCCCCTTTCCTCCCGGCACTATATGCCCCTGGGGTTTGCATTTCCCATGAATATAAAAATAATAATAAAAATTAGAAATGTCAAAACTTGGGTATCTTTAATGAGGGGAAAAATTCACCCCACAGTGGCTTCCGTCCAAAAAAAGGAAATGTGAAGAACAGGAGGGTTTGAGGTAATCAGTCCCTCATCCTTGAGTCGATGTAATCAGCCATTAATCTTTAAAAGTTTGTAATAAAGTTTTTTAGAATTCGGACAATAGTAAAGTAAAGGACACAAGTGCAAACTAATGTGACTTTATTTTGGCAAGTTTCGCTCTCCCGGAGCTTTTTTCCCCAACCATTACATAAATACATGGACACAGAGGGGATATAAAGGCCAGATGAGGTGAATACTAGTGAGGTACCTTTCGTTTCCCTGTGGTAGTAGTAGGTAGTAGTGGGATGACAAAAGAATACAATATGGTAAGCAATTTAAATTTGTACATGAGTAAAAAATATAAAAAATTACTTGGGAACAAAAATGGTTGGACAAATATAAACTGGAATAGGCAGTTTTTTTCGTGTTCACTCCTGGCTTTGTTAGTATACGGGAGGACTATGGAGGCGGGGTTTTTACTGTTTTTGGAGGTTCTTGCAAGCTTCGGAGATGGTGAAGCTGCCTTTTGTTTTTTTTAAAATTGTTTTTGAAACACGACGGGGGCTGTTCAACACTTGCGTGTGGGGAAAAATTAGTTTTTTTTATCACAATTGGGCGTCTCTGAATTTCATAAGTGTTTGGGGGAATTTGGGTTTTGTACACGGCGTTGTTTAATTGTCCCTTCCCACACGTATATGTGTTCATTGAGGCGGGTTGGAGGTTTTTGCTGTTTCACCTACGTAGTTTGCACGCCTCCGCAGGGTATGTGTAAACTCCTGCATTTACTGTTCGGGTGTTGGGTTTTGTCCCCTTAGACCTTTATTTGAAATGGTGAAGCGATGGCGCTCTGGTGTTAGCTTGTGAAAATACTTTGAGACGTTTTTTGCAAACCCGGGGTTGGGGGAAAAATTAAACTTTGTTGGGGGGCGGGGTTGATCGGAAATTGATGATCTGAAGAGTCTTTTCTTGCAGTCTTTGATGAAAAAAGGGGGAAATTGTAACTCAGTGAATGTTTGGTGAATGTAAGTACATTCCTCGTCAAGAAACTCAGGACTACAAATTCGGTATGCTCTTAGGAAAAACCCGATGATGATGCCTCTTTTGGTCTTGGTATCTTGACTGGAGTAGAAGTGTGTAAGATCATTTTTATTGGTGGGTTTCCGATAAACTTGAAATCTTAGGTTGTTGTCTACTTTGTGAATGAGGACGTCGAGGAAAGGTAGCTTGTCATTGGACTCTTCTTCTAGTGTAAACTGAATCGCTGGTTCAACTGCGTTGAGCCTTGCTTGAAGATCCCGTACATCAAAACGTTTTGGAGTTATTACGAGGACATCGTCCACGTAACGTAACCAAGTGACGCTTGAAGGGATGATGTTGGCGAAGTGTTCGGACTCTAGGTGTTCCATGTATAAGTTGGCAGCTTCACCATCTCCGAAGTCTTAGCAAGAATCCTCCTAAAAACAGTAAACCCTGCCATCACATAGTCTCTCCTGTTATACTACACAAAGCACAGAGAGTGAACACTGAAACAAGCTGCCTCATTCCAGTTTATATTTGTCCAACCTATTTTTATGTTGCCCAAGTAATAGCTTTTATATCCTTTTACTCATGTACGAATTAATTGCTCTACCATATTGTATTACTTTTGTCACTACCACTACTACTACTACTACTACCACTAGTGAACATCGAAATGGTACCTCACTAGTATTCACCTCACTCTGAGCCTTTATATACCCTCTGTGTCCATGTATTGTATGTAATGGCTTGATAAAGCTCCTGGAGAGCGAAACGTTGCCAAAATAAATGTCACATTAGTTGCACTTGTGTCCTTTTACTTTACAATCTTGAAAAGAATACAGCATATGTGTGAAGAAGTGGCTTATATACTGTAGGTAGATGATGAGGTGCAGCACTTGTATGTGGTAAAACATTTGTCTAATGCAGAAGTAGGTCATGCCCAAGGGTTAGGCAAGTGAAGAAATCTCAAGTATTAAGAGCCCAAGAAGTTACAGTGTCAGACAGGATTGTAAATGAATGGTTCAGAGAACCGACAAGTTGATAAATTAGACACATGTGAAACACGTGGGTATCCTTAATGAGGAAACGTTTCGCCACACAGTGGCTTCGTCAGTCCATACAAACTCCTCAAACTCCTCCTGTTTTTTACAATTCTCCTTGTATGGACTGATGAAGCCACTGTGTGGCAAAACGTTTCCTCATTAAAGATACCCAAGTGTTGCACATGTGTCTAATTTATCAACTTGTCGGTTCTCTGAACCATTCATCTACAATAATAATAATACATGTAATAATAATGACCCCTATGAGTTTACTGCTTCCCCATGAAAGTAATAATTATAATACAGTGGACCCCCGCATAACGATCACCTCCAAATGCGACCAATTATGTAAGTGTATTTATGTAAGTGCGTTTGTACGTGTATGTTTGGGGGTCTGAAATGGACTAATCTACTTCACAATATTCCTTATGGGAAAAAATTCGGTCAGTACTGGCACCTGAACATACTACTGGAATGAAAAAAGTTCGTTAACCGGGGGTCCACTGTACTGTGTTTATTCAGAGGATAATATTAAATGAAAGTGCACTGCAGTAGGCCTACTGGCCCATGCTAGGCTGCTCCAGCTCACACCCACTCTTATACCCATCCAGCCTACAAAACTACTTGAAGTTCTCACCTCAGTGACGCTACCTGGAAGTTTGTTCTACTCGTCTAAAATTCCATTGCTAAACCAGTACTTCCCTATATCCTTTCTAAATTTGAATGCTTCCTACTTCAATTCATTGCTGCGAGTTCTGCCATAGATATTTTCAACGTGCTATTTATATCCCCATTATTTATTCTTGGTTTTCCATTTGTACACTTGCAGTCATATCTCCCCTAATTCTACATTTTCCCAGAGACAGCAGACTCAGTGCTTTCAGCCTATCTTCATAGGATTTATTGATACACAGTATTTGTGGGTATCCAGGCAGCTGTCATGACTGATTTCATAATAGTAATTAAATGTAAATGTACCCCTTACACAAAAATGTTACACCTAATTAACCCAATCTTTTAACACAATGGAAATTAGGCAGACAAAATATTTAGGGTTATCCTAGCCCTTCAGGGGGTTGTCTTGATGTTGGTGAAGGACTCTTGGTCCAAGGAATTCAAGCCACTTTCCTCTTCCTTGGATCAAACCTGACTACCTCACATTCCACAGATGCCTTTATGGGCTTGGCACTTCCTCATGAATATAACAACAATTATAATGGGTTAATTTTAAATTAAATTTTCACCAATGTATGCCTGTAAATGGAACCAGAATGTTATGTAATGTAAATATGATAAGGTGGAGTTAATGACACTTAAATGCAGTAGATAATTTCTACTGTTGTGTTCATTTCAACTCTTGCATAAGTTTTAAAATCTAGACACCATATCAAGCTAACCTAAATGCAGCTTATCTAACTGTTTAAGGAAAAAAAAAAAAGGCAATGGTAACAAGCATTAGAGTAGAAGCAGACATTATTTTCATAAAGTTAGTAATCCAGGATCATCCAAAGTAAGTCAATTAATGTGGCTTGTTTCCATTGGGGTTCTTTCCTCCATCCAGGATGTGATATACAGTAGTCAGTTAACACTCAGGTACCTATTTACTGCTAGGTGAACAGGTGCAATAGTGCTAGGAGACATCTATATTTTCCCCACCCAGGATTGAACCTGGGTTTTTCAGCTGTTAGCTGAAAATGATACCATTGAATGAAAACAGTGATTACAATAATAACAGTAATTTCATGATTTTCTCTTATCTCACTTCAAGTTGGCAATTAACTTACATTGTGCAACATGAACTTTTTCACACTTTTCTAATGTATTTTTTAAATTGCTTTGATGCTGATATCATACAGAAAATGCTTCTGATGTGTATCAAATACGAATTGGAACACTTTGCTTAACACATCATACATCTTGGCAGAACAGAGAACTTCACCTAACTTGTCATACACTTTTAGAAAAGAGCTGTACCTGAAATGCTATTTGTTTTAGTTATACAAACCTTATAAAATTGCTTTACTTAGTAATAATGAATTTCTACAAAACTTTTAATGTAATTTTGGGGAGAATGAAAATTCTGACTACATATGCCAAAAGCTAATCGAAGAGTCTTGTATTACCAGTCTTATGCTTCCAGCTAATTAAAAATGTCCCATATTTATTTGTAAAATAAATACAAACATAGGTTAAAAACAAAGAAGGCATAAATGCACAGAATACAGTAACATTTACAAAGCCTATACGTACTATAGGCCAGTAACCATTTTGTATTATATGGCAGGTACAGTATAGCATTATATACACTACCTCCTATTTCCCACGAACTGTATGACCCTGTGCTTAGCGATTCTTCTTAAATGTAATGAAAAATAATAATGCTAATGTACACTGCCAGAAAGATTAAAGAGGTTATCAGATTTATGACATTAATTTGATAATACAGTACTTCTCCAAAATCATGGAAGAATGATAATATGTAAAAATGCTTTATGCTTCTTGAAACCAAATATTATAAGCTAACAAATCAGTTTTGTTTTCAGTACACCATTGAGAAATTCATCCACTTATCTTTCAGATATTAATGGGACCTCATACATAGCATCTCAAAGTTTTCTAAATTTTCCACCATGAGCTTGGAATGGATCAAAAGCCAAAGAAGCTTCCTCTCTCCAGAGGTGAGAAATCTGCTTCAGGAGAGTATGCATGTTGGCACTGATCAGGCAATCTCTTCTGACTCTCAAATCTGGGTCACAGAGAGCTGTGGAATTGTTTGGGAGAAACTTGAGGAACTTCTGTCAGGTACATTGATCCTATTTTGTTGGTACTATATATTATATTTCTGTATTTGATATGCCATATACCTTACAGTACAGTCATCTATATAAATTTATGAGCTGTTTTGGTTGCTAAAAGCCTTGGATAATACCAAACTACATTTAAAAAGCAAATTTTGTTTCAGATTTGAGTTTGTTTTGTTTCAGAAACCATATGGCTGTAGTATATCACTATTCTGGTTAATATCGGCATCTGAAATATTATGATTAGTTTTAAATTTTTGGGTCATGAGCAGAGTTTGAAGAATATGTACTGCCAGAAAACCCATGAATAACCAGATCTCTTTGCTGGTCACCCATCACTGAAAATGTTAGATAATGTAATAATATAGGGATAGTGTAGGGAAAATTGTACTTCATAAAATACCATACACTAGCAGTCTTGAGTAGTTTATACAGTAATAAAAGTATTGGTTTTTGTACAATACTGGATGACCATTTTCAGCATACATACATGATAGCCTATGAAATTATTCCTACATACAAAAAATCCTTTTCTTGTTCCTTGCTGTCTTCCTAATCCAACTCATGTTGTTATTCCTTTTAAACTCTAATATGACTCATCTCTTTTATTTATTCCTACAATATTTTTCTAACTACATGTCCATCTTGTTTCATTATGCTATTTTTTTTTTTTTTTATCAGTTGCTTATTTTACTGTGGGTTCTCTGAGAATCACACAGTGGTAGAGCACCTGGGTGGATGCTCAAGCCCCTTACACTCAAAACCAACTTTACCATCTCCCTGCAAAACCTCCTTTATCATCTCCCTGCAACACTTCCTGGACTGACCCCTACCACACATTCCTTCCAACCCAGATTTAAACACCTTGTTGATCGTTCTATTTGTTCCATCCTCTAAATGCCCAAACCACCTCAGTAACCACTCCACAACTTTCTGAATTATACCTTTGGTAACTCTTCACCATATTCTAATATCTACTTTCTGAATTCTCTGCATAATACTCACACCATATTGCTCTCAAACATGGCATCTCCATTGCCTCTAGCCTCTTCCTCCTCACTCACATCTATATGAAATTATTGGTACTATTGCAGTGTACTCTGGTACATTTTTGCCTTCATAAATAAGCCTCTTTCTTTTCACAAATGCCACAACACGCCACCAACCTTTATCCTATCATATATTCTGTGGCTTACCTCATTTTTCATACACCCATCTATCAACATGTCTGTTCTTAAATGTCTAAATATATTCATATCCTCATACTCCTTAGTTTTATTTGTATATTTGGAAATGTATTTTCAGGTATTGAGGAAGAATATGCAAGTAAAAAATGGTATTTTGAGGCTGTTGTCAAGCTAGCTCCACTCTTCACTCACTGCTATAATATATTGATGAAACTCACACAAGATGACTACAGAAGACTCATTCAACCATATCTGGAATGGACTCATCAGGTACATACACATATTTCATAAGAAAATTACTTCTGAAAGTAAAACATGTGTAGTATTAAATCATAATAAAAATACTTGTAAAAAGCAAAAGAAATAGCTTAATAAAGTTTTCTTATTATTATTTGATAAATTTGTTGTTTGAAATAGTTTTGCTGTCAGCAATAAATCTTTTTCTTATTTTTTTTTCCAGGGGGCTGAAGTTGATGCCTGCATGAAGGAAATATCTGAGGGAAGTTTCAACAGTGACCATCTTGTTGCTCTGCTTACTGTTACAGCCATTACAGAGAGATCTTTAGGAAATGTAAATACTCTATTATATATTATATTTTTCCCCTCTCACATCATGGACATATATAGTGTCGTTATATAGTATACTACATAAATGCATTTACAGTAAAACTTAACATATTTGGCACTTCAGTAACAGCAACTTCCATTACAGATTCCATATTTTAAGTAATTATTGTCTTTTTAACTACCATTATTTGCTGGTTGTATTTTATTGCTTGGTTTAATTAGCATTAATATTTTACCTGTTGAATTTATTTTTTTACATTCAGCACTTGTAGCATCTTGATGTATTATGAATGATAGATGGAAGGCCTGCAAGTCTCATTACTTGGTTTTTATTTTTTTTATTGCTTACAGTGCACTGATTTTCTTATTGTGAAAAATTCAGCTCTTTAATCTTTATCTTTAGCTTTCATCTTATCATTATTGTATTCCTGTGTCTGCAGAGTAATATAGAAACTGCATAATTCATGGCATACCTATATATTTTTTTGCTTTTTGTTCTGATTTTGACCCTACCTGTTCAATCAATTATTGGTACAGTATCTTATTTACCTTTTTGTACTTTTTATTATTCTTTTTAAAAATATTATTTTCATTACTCACCTTTGTACCATACCTGTGACTGTAATATTTTTATGAATATAGACCTGTATTGTATTTGTATGCTTTCAGCTTGTACTAATGAAACAGGAACAAGTGCCATTTTTGCTTCGAGACCTTCTTGTTACAACAGAATTGAAGGAATTGGTTGGAAACACAAGGGTAAGCAGTAAGATCATTATTAATTCTATATTTTTTTTAACATGCTGGCAGTCTCCCACCAAGGCAGTAATTAATTTTAGAAGAGATATCTAATACCCCTGCATTATCTGTGAGCCATAGTTAAGTGGAATGTACACTGCACAAACAGTTCTCTTACACTAAATATTTTCTTGGTGGGTAAGCAGAGTAGTTTTTAAGGAGTAGCATTTTATAGTCTTTAGAAAACCCAGCTTTGATCACAATACTGTCTAGCTTTATTAATAAAAATTTTTTAAACTAATTATTGGCAATGTATTGTTTAATCCAGCCTTCTGGCCCACGTTTTAAATAAAAGATTATTTTAACATCCTTGAGCTCAAAGGCTTTACTGCTGCATGTGTATGCAGTCTTCATTTGTGTAGATCAGTGTAGTAACCCTCTCTTTTGATTCTGTCTGACCATCCACTGATTTCTCATGGCTAGAAACTATGTATATAGAGAGTATTTCATTCAGTACCTCTCCAGCATAAATATATTTTCTTGACAGTACAGTATAAATTCATTAAGATAATCATACTCTTCCATTAAACCTGAAAATTTGTCCACATAATTTTTAGTAGCTCTTTGGTCTTCTACCTGGGTACAGGTAGAAGGTCATATAGCATGAATTCGTATCATATTACTCCTCCTTTGAAATTTGTAATTTCATGATAATGTAAGATTTAAGTTGCATCGAGAGGGGAAAGGATATAATGAACAGACATTACACTAGCCACAAGGGGCTTCATGAATGAATTTAAATATGGACTGGGGGTAGTAATGATCCTTCTGGAGTCTTGTTGGGGCCTAATTAAGGTCCACAAGTCCTCATTCTTTTGTACACTCACTGGGTCTTCAAAGGCAACATTTACTCCTGACTAATGTGCTGAAAATGTCACTTGTACACTTTTTTATCAACACACTGGCCATATCCCACAGAGGCAGGGTGACTTAAAAAGAAAAATTAAAAAGTTTTTGTTTTTAAATTTAGTAATTTAAACAGAAGGGTTACTAACCCGTTGCTCCCAGCATTTTAGTTGCCTCTTATGACATGCATGGCTTACAGAAGAAGAATTCTCTTCCATTTCCTCATGGAATATGTATTTGTACACTTAGCATAAAGAAAGTTATGCATACTGTATAACAAATAATGAATACAGCTTCTCCTTATTTAGCGACATACTCGTTTACCAACAACTCAGACTTACGACAGGCTCTATGACCAGTATGCATACCTAAATAATGTACAGTGGAACCTTGACTTACGAGTTTAATCCATTCCATGACCTTGCTCATAATCAATTTACTCATATATCAAATCAACTTTCCTCATTTAAATTAATTGAAATGCCATTAATCCGTCCCAGCGGCAGGACAAAATGTTTCAATATAACAACTCTAGGCTTATTTATCAATCACATTTCATCTAATATGACATAATAAACAATATGATTAACAGAGAAACATGATATATACACTAGAATGAATAAAATAGGCCATAATATGATGAGTGATGATACAATTTGTTTTGTTTGATTGCTAAACTTAACTGGTACAATTTACTTTAATTCCATGGAAATCATCCTCTTTTCTACTCAGCACTGTCCTTTGCACTTATTTTCTTAGGACCAATGGTTAGAAAAAAGAAATTTGGCCAAATAACCGTAAAAAAATGCAAGCAAGCACGAGAGAAATGCTCCCACAGCGATGTAAACATGTGGACTCCTTACTGATGTTTTGCCATCGGCTGCACCAACTAGTGGCAGCATTCTGAATTATTATTACGTATTATGTATGTATTATTATTATTATTTTTATTATTATTATTCTTATATTATTGTTATTATTATTATTATTATTATTACTATTTTTTTTTTTTTTTTTTTTTTTTCAACAAGTCGGCCGTCTCCCACCGAGGCAGGGTGACCCAAAAAAGAAAGAAAATCCCCAAAAAGAAAATACTTTCATCATCATTCAACACTTTCACCACACTCGCACATTATCACTGTTTTTGCAGAGGTGCTCAGAATACAACAGTCTAGAAGCATACACATATAAAGATACACAACATATCCCTCCAAACTGCCAATATCCCAAACCCCTCCTTTAAAGTGCAGGCATTGTACTTCCCATTTCCAGGACTCAAGTCCGACTATATGAAAATAACCGGTTTCCCTGAATCCCTTCACTAAATATTACCCTGCTCACACTCCAACAGATCGTCAGGTCCCAAGTACCATTCGTCTCCATTCACTCCTATCTAACACGCTCACGCACGCTTGCTGGAAGTCCAAGCCCCTTGCCCACAAAACCTCCTTTACCCCCTCTCTCCAACCCTTTCGAGGACGACCCCTACCCCGCCTTCCTTCCCCTATAGATTTATATGCTTTCCATGTCATTCTACTTTGATCCATTCTCTCTAAATGACCAAACCACCTCAACAACCCCTCTTCTGCCCTCTGACTAATACTTTTATTAACTCCACACCTTCTCCTAATTTCCACACTCCGAATTTTCTGCATAATATTTACACCACACATTGCCCTTAAACAGGACATCTCCACTGCCTCCAACCGTCTCCTCGCTGCTGCATTTACCACCCAAGCTTCACACCCATATAAGAGTGTTGGTACTACTATACTTTCATACATTCCCTTCTTTGCCTCCATAGATAACGTTTTTTGACTCCACATATACCTCAACGCACCACTCACCTTTTTTCCCTCATCAATTCTATGATTAACCTCATCCTTCATAAATCCATCCGCCGACACGTCAACTCCCAAGTATCTGAAAACATTCACTTCTTCCATACTCCTCCTCCCCAATTTGATATCCAATTTTTCTTTATCTAAATCATTTGACACCCTCATCACCTTACTCTTTTCTATGTTCACTTTCAACTTTCTACCTTTACACACATTCCCAAACTCATCCACTAACCTTTGCAATTTTTCTTTAGAATCTCCCATAAGCACAGTATCATCAGCAAAAAGTAACTGTGTCAATTCCCATTTTTGAATTTGATTCCCCAAAATTTAATCCCACCCCTCTCCCGAACACCCTAGCATTTACTTCCTTTACAACCCCATCTATAAATATATTAAACAACCATGGTGACATTACACATCCCTGTCTAAGACCTACTTTACCGGGAAGTAGTCTCCCTCTCTTCTACACACCCTAACCTGAGCCTCACTATCCTCATAAAAACTCTTTACAGCATTTAATAACTTACCACCTATTCCATATACTTGCAACATCTGCCACATTGCTCCTCTATCCACTCTATCATATGACTTTTCTAAATCCATAAATGCAATAAAAACTTCCCTACCTTTATCTAAATACTGTTCACATATATGCTTCAATGTAAACACTTGATCTACACATCCCCTACCCACTCTGAAACCTCCTTGCTCATCCGCAATCCTACATTCTGTCTTACCTCTAATTCTTTCAATTATAACCCTACCGTACACTTTTCCTGGTATACTCAGTAAGCTTATTCCTCTATAATTTTACAGTCTCTTTTGTCCCCTTTCCCTTTATATAAAGGGACTATACATGCTCTCCGCCAATCCCTAGGTACCTTCCCTCTTTCATACATTTATTAAACAAAAGTACCAACCACTCCAACACTATATCCCCCCCTGCTTTTAACATTTCTGTCATGATCCCATCAGTTCCAGCTGCTTTACCCCCTTTCATTTTACGTAATGCCTCACGTACCTCCCCCACACTTACATTCTGCTCTTCTTCACTCCTAAAAGATGGTATACCTCCCTGACCAGTGCATGAAATTACTGCTTCTGTTTCTTCCTTAACATTTAAAAGTTCCTCAAAATATTCTCGCCATCTTCCCAATACCTCCATCTCCCCATCTACTAACTCCCCTACTCTGTTTTTAACTGACAAATCCATATTTTCCCTAGGCTTTCTTAACTTGTTTAACTCACTCCAAAATTTTTTCTTACTATTACTATTACTATTTTTTATTACTATTATTATTATTATTATTATTAATTTAAGGAACTGAAACTCACTCATTATTATTGATATTTGAATAATAATAATAATAATAATAATAATAATAATAATAATACATATGTAATAATAATAATAATACATATGTAATAATAATAATAATACATATGTAATAATAATAATAATAATAATAATGAGAGCTTCAGAATGCCACCAGTGCACTTTATATCACTGTGTGGGAGTATTTCTCTCATGCTTTGCTTACATTTTTTGCAGTCATTTTGCAAACTTTAATTTTTCTAAGCATAGGTCCTAAGAAAGTAAGTGTAAAGGACAATACTGAGAAGAAAAAGAGGATGATTCCCATGGAATTAAAGCATGAAAATATAGATAAAGAAGCAAGGTGTGCAGGTTTTGGTTTGAGGGGGAAATGAGGGGAGCTGGCTTGTAACTCAGATGTTGGCTCGTAACTCAGAGCAAGAAATCGACCGAGCGACGGCTTGCATCTCAAAAAACTTGTACGTTGGGACACTCATAAGTCAGGGTTCCACTCTAATACAACTGATTTCCTCTATTCTGTTTATTACAATATACAATACACTACTGTATAAACATTTAAAAATATACCAGAAATGTTACAGATGGTGCAAAGGTGACATTAAAATAATATCAAAGATGGTTGACACAAACCCACTACCATTATAGTATGCTCCTCACTTAGTGACAAATTTGTTTACTGATGTGGTCTTTGGAATGGAACTCTATCGTTAAGTGAGGAGAGGCTGTATAAATGGATGAAGACTGAGACACTTATGTAACATATGGGAATCTTTATTGAGGAAATGTTTCACCACACAGTGGCTTCATCAGTTTAATACAAAGCAGAAAGTTGTAAGGAGAGAAGACTAAGGTAATCAGTCCCTCAGCCTGGAGTCGATGTGTTCAGTCCATCAATCTTGTAGAATGTACATCATAGGGCCGTAGACATGGCTTATATACCATAGTCAGGTGAGGCAAAGCAGTAGGAGGCGGGGTCATAGTGGAACCATCCACAAGTATAAGTAGGTCTTCGTCCAAAGGTTGGATAAGTTTTGAAGAATTCTTTGTATCGAGACTGATGAAGCCACTGTGTGGCAAAATGTTTCCTCAATAAAGATTCCCATATGTTGCATAAGTGTCTCAATCTTCAACTTGTCGTTTTTTTAAACCATTTATCACATCTGTCAGACACTGCAGCATCATGGGATTTTGATACAAAGAATTCTTCAAAACTTGTCCAACCTTTGGACAAAGACCTACTTAGACTTGTGGATGGTTCCACTATGACCCGCCTTCTACTGCTCCACCTCACCTGACTACAGCATATAAGCCACGTCTACAACTCTATGCTGTACATTCTACAAGATTGACGGACTGAACACATCGACTCCAGGCTGAAGGACTGATTACCTCAAACTCCTCCTCTCCTTACACCTTTCTCCTTTGTATTGGACTGATGAAGCCACTGTGTTGCAAAACATTTTCTCAATAAAGATTCCCATATGTTGCATAAGTGTTTGAATCTTCAACTTGTTGGTTTTTTAAACCATTCATCACATGTATAAATGGATGAATAGGAGAATTATTAGTCAAATGCTACCTTAATATTTTATTAGAATCATGATATCTGTGGACTAGCCAGAGAGCAGATAATGCTGAGTGTGTCTTTGTATCGCCCTGCCAGGTTCAGCTGCTGAGGATATTACTGGGTTCTGTGTTGGGCATAAATCTCCGCAACATTGCATGGCATGGCTTCCTTAGCCCCTGTGAAGCAAATCCAGCATTTGTTGCTACCCTCATCATTATTCTTGCTGACTGTGGCAGATGGCTCAAAGACTGCAGTGTTACTAATGTTCCCTGTAGACCATTTGTATCATTCAAAGAGGTAAGAGTATTTCACTCATAGATTCTCAACTTTAAGATATGAAAGGGGCAATGATTGGTAATGTGTTTTCTTCTTGAGTCCACAATGACTTCATAGGAAATAGCTTGTGTTTTACCTGTGGCTGGTTTCAAGAGTTCTGCCCTCACAGCTTTGCTGGAGGATCAGATTTCCTTGTTGATTGCCTGATCAACAGGACAGTGGCTGATAGTGGCCTGCAGGCCTACAAAACCATCACAACCTTTCTGACCAGGTAACTCGAGCAAGTAATAGGCCAGTTTTCTTTTAAAAACCTCTACCTGTTTAACAAAAACTTTTGTACTGGCACCTCTCTGATCTTTAAATGAATTTGTCCTCCTATAACTATATTTTTTTTTATCTAAATGACCATCTCCTTCCAAGCCAGGGTGACCTAAAGAAGGTAACATATTTGCCATCATTCATTAATTCACTGTTCAGTCAGAAATGTGCTGACATCACAGTTCAGATTATACTCTGACTGCAACATTCCTACCCCCGTCCTTCAGAGTGCAGGCACTGAAGGAGGGGTGAGAATGTTGCATACATTCATTTATATAAATAACCTTTTCTATGTACGTATGTTTCTTTTTTCTCCATTCACTTGTTGTTCCTATGTAATTATATACTGAATTTTTATGTCAGACATATACAGAAATCTTTTAGCACTTCAAATAATGTACTGTATGATATTGATAATAATATTTGCACACTTTTAGGCATGTTGTCCAATGAGTGTATTTGAAAAGGTTGACATCCCACCAAGACCAGTAATGGAAGAGGTGATAACTAAATCTCCTCTTGTTCCAACTATTATGATTCCAGTGTGGATGAAGGCACTTGATCTGTTAGCGGAGAAAAGGTAAGGTGATGTACAAATGTGCAATGTACAGCTAGCATCGATATTAATTTTTTGCTATACAGTGGACCCCCGGTTAACGATATTTTTTCATTCCAGAAGTATGTTCAGGTGCCAGTACTGACCGAATTTGTTCCCATAAGGAATATTGTGAAGTAGGTTAGTCCATTTCAGACCCCCAAACATACACGTACAATACGTACATACACGTGATCGTTAAGCGGGGGTCCACTGTATTAGAATTATGTGCAGGGCAAAAATATTTGTATTTAAAAGTCTTGTAAAAACAAGTACAGTATCTGGATATTTTTAAGACTATAATTCTGGCAAAATTTAAAATTTGTACATGTATCTGCATCCTATAATAGCTCTTTTCCATTGGTAACCTTCCTTCATGTAAGGTTCTTCTTTCAACAAACCAGCCTTATCCCACCAAACCAGGGTGTCCCAAAAGGAAAAAACGAAAGTTTCTCCCTTTACATTTAGTAATACATACAGGAGAAGGGGTTACTAACCCCTTGCTCCTGGCATTTTAATCGCCTCTTACAACATGCATGGCTTAAGGAGGAAGAATTCTGTTCCACTTCTTCATAGTGATAAGAGGAAATAAACAAGGACAAGAACTAGTAAGAAAAATAGAAGAAAACCCAGAGGGGTGCATATATATGTATATGCTTGTACATGCATGTGTAGTGTGACCTGGGTGTAAGAAGAAATAGCAAGACATACCTGAAACCGAGTGTATGCTTGGATGTTACCGCGGAGGCTGGCTGGTAAACAATGGCACGGGCGGCACATGTGAGGCTGGCTGAGGGCGCACATTGGACGCGTCTCGGACGAAAATCGGTGAGCGGGTTTTTAATCGGTATGCGCGGCAAAATTTTTGCGATTAAAGTAAGCGGTATGCGGATTAATCGCTATGTGATGCCATCGTTATGCGGGGGTCCACTGTATCTGGTAAAGCCTCTTATCTAGTAAAGGCTGGGTCACTTGCACCATACTTTGAAAGTCTGGGGCTACAGTAGATTATGAAACAAGGTAGATAATGATTGTGAGAAAAAAATATATATGTAATTCCACAATGTATGCTGTATTAACTGACAGTAGTACTGTAGTTATTCTAGGAGGATTTGACAAGGAAAAATAGCAGTATATATTACTATAGCAGAGGACATGAAATCATCATTGTTTGCAACAGTACTGATATAATCTGAATGCCATTGGAAATAATAAAGAAAATGAACAGGTCCATAGCAGAGAAGTGATTCTTCCAAAAAATTATTATTATTTATTAACACATCAGCCAATTACCGCCAAGGCAGGGTGGCCCGAAAAAGAAAAACTTTCATCATCATTCACTCCATCACTGTCTTGCCAGAGGGGTGCTTTACGCTAGTTATAAAACTTCAACATTAACACCCCTCCTTCAGAGTGTAGACACTGTACTTCCCATCTCCAGGACTCAAGTCCAGCCTGCCAATTTCCCTGAATCCCTTCATGTATGTTACTTTGCTCACACTCCAACAGCACGTCAAGTATTAAAAACCATTCATCTCCATTCACTCTTATCAAATACACTCATGCACGCTTGCTGGAAGTCCAAGCCCCTCACACACAAAACCTCCTTTACCCCTTCCCTCCAACCCTTTCTAGGCTGACCCCTACCTTGCCTTCCCTCCACTACAGATTTATACACTCTCAAAGTCATTCTGTTTTGATCCATTCTTTCTACATGTCCGAACCACCTCAACCCCTCCTCAGCCCTCTGGACAATAGTTTTGGTAATCCCACACCTTCTCCTAATTTCCAAACTACGAATTCTCTGCATTATATTCACACCACACATTGCCCTCAGACATGACATCTCCACTGCCTCCAGCCTTCTCCTCGTTACAACATTCATCACCCATGCTACACACCCATACAAGACTGTTGGTACAACTATACTCTCATACATTCCCCACTTTGCTTCCACAGATAAAGTCCTTTGTCTCCACAGACTCCTAAGTGCACCATTCACCCTTTTCCCCTCATCAATTCTATGATTCACTTCCTCCTTCATAGACCCATCTGCTGACATGTCCACTCCTAAATATCTGAATACATTCACCTCCTCCATACTCTCTCCCTCCAATTTGATATCCAATCTTTCACCACCTAATCTTTTTGTTATCCTCATAACCTTACTCTTTCCTATATTCACTTTTAATTTTCTTCTCTTACATACCCTACCAAATTCATCCACCAACCTCTGCAACTTCTCTTTAGAATCTCCCAAAAGCACAGTGTCATCAGCAAAGAGCAACTGTGACAACTCCCACTTTGTGTTTGATTCTTTATCTTTTAACTCCACGCCTCTTGCCAAGACCCTCGCATTCACTTCTCTTACAACCCCATCTATAAATATATTGAACAACCACGGTGACATCACACATCCTTGTCTAAGGCCTACTTTTACGTAGAAATAATCTCCCTCTCTCCTACATACTCTAACCTGAGCCTCACTATCCTTGTAAAAACTCTTCTCTGCTTTCAGTAACCTACCTCCTGTACCATACACCTACAACATCTGACACATTGCCCCCCTATCTACCCTGTCATATGCCTTTTCCAAATCCATAAATGCCACAAAAACCTCTTTACACTTATCTAAATACTGTTCACCTATATGTTTCACTGTAAACACTTGGTCTACACACCCCCTACCTTTCCTAAAGCCTCCTTGTTCATTTGCTATCCTACTCTCCGTCTTACTCTTAATTCTTTCAATAATAACTCCACCATACACTTTACCAAGTATACTCAACAGACTTATTCCCCTATAGTTTTTGCACTTTTTTTTTATCCCTTTGCCTTCATACAAAGGAACAATGCATGCTGTCTGTCAATCCCTAGGTACCTTACCCTCTTCCATACATTTCTTAAATAATAACACCAACCACTCCATTGAATTTCCCAGGTTAGGAGTATGCAAGTAAGACAGCAAGGATAGGATATCAGATTGATGGATCATTGTGGTATGTTGCATTAAAGATGTGGCACTCACTGAGGAAGGATTTACAGTGCATATTAGGACGGCCAGCTGGCCGTTGCATCACTGCCAAGAAGTCAAAGAAAGTTCTGTGACAGATTATTGAAAGCTTGTTCAATAGACTATTTTAAGGAGGCCATTGCAGCTAAACTTGTTATATAGAGGTACTGTACTTTATAAGTGGATTATTAAAATACAACACTTTAATGAGCAAACTATGTAAAATTAATCAGATACTATTTGTTACAAAATACACTATACTGTAAGATAATCTAAGAATAATTCTTGTATCTATATCTCTAGGTGGGGCTTGAGTGTAACAGCACTTCTGCCAATGTTGGAGTGTTCTCTGCGATGCTTATTTGCTCATACTAATGAAGTCTCAGAACGAGTTTTAACTGCGGAAAATTCAACATTATATACCACTTTGGATGAAATTCTTGAACCTTGTATTAATGAAGGAATCTGTGATTCTGTAGATCTTGTAAACGATGATCAGAGTGCAGAACAGTCCACTCATAATGTATTGGAAGGAAAATACTAGGAATAACACTGATATCTATTTCAAACATGAAATTCCTTCATATACATCTACTGAAGCAAGAAAGTTGTCAAGTAATAATCATATATTACTTTTTATTGGCAAAAAGCTTAATGAAGCACTTCATGATCTTTTGAATTTTGTACAGGGTCCTCGTGTGCGAGATAGAATAAGCCATGGTGAGGTCAGACTGAAAGAATTCCCTCAGGAAATAGCTCAACATACACTGTGCCTCTGTATCCTTGTGTTATCACTTGGCAACTGGAGGTCAAAATTGCAAGGTATATGTATTTGCAATAAAAACAAGCACTGTAGTCAATGTAATGCTGACTATGTTCATTTTTTAGATCCAGGAATGGGCATTATGTGCTGTGATTTGAAACAAATATATATCAAAAGTGTTGCAGGTAATCATAAAATTAAGGATTGCATTAATGGCTTATTTGATTTTATTTCTATAACTGAAACATCAGAAAACTTGAATGATCTTTTAGCAGTGTTAAGTGACGGTATTGAAAAGTATAAAAGCATTTACCATCCAACTGCCATACTTCACAATAAACTAGTTTCTTCAGCATCTCAGCTAAAGGACTGGTTAACGTGGAAGAAAGTAGATGCTGATGAGCTAGGCTATGATAATTGGGAAGGTTGGAACAATTTAGAGCTGCCAGAGATAGTATCTATTTCTTCTCTTGGCAATACACATGAGATCAAAGGCCTAAATAATATTAAAGATTTCTCTTCCCAGATTTGCAATGTCAATTATGAAGTCCTGTACAGACCAAAGCCAGAACTTGAAATTGTATCTATTCTTCAGAGAATTGCTTCAAATGTTCACTCAGCTCTTGACAACATTTGTAAAAATCTTTCCATCAAATATTCACAATATATTGACAAAAAACTACGATCAAGGCAGAGGGAAACGTATCGTAGACAATTAAATGCCATTCCAGTGATAATACTTAATATTTATTTCACCCTTCAAATAATATATATGGTATTTTTCTCAGTAAATAAAGTTTCTGAGCTTAGTAAGCCATGTTTTAATAATCTAATTAAAATGTTTAAATTGATGCTCAAGGTTCAGGAGAATATTGTATCACAAACAGATCTTAATGCTAATCATTGGGATGAAGCAGCATCAAACTCTCTCAGAAATATTGAGACTCTGAGACAATATTTTTCTTCTTAAAAATTATTGTTCTGTAAAATAATGTAATTTAAACCATTTTATGTAAGTCAAGTAATGAAATTATTAATATGGAATATTCTGTTCACTTCAAATTCAGTGTGTGTGTATAAGGTGAGGATAAATATAAGGAAGTTTTCTGTGTTTGACTTGTCCCCTCAACCCCCTTCTCTGTAAGTAAGTAGGAATAGATAAAATGTTTTTAATTTATAGTCTGTAGTAGACAAAGTCACAAGCAGCACTTGGAAACTAAGGATAGCATTTTGCATGCACAGTATGCTTTATCAAGCGTGTGTCTTGTTTGACTACAACTTTTCAGTATTCTTATACAATTTTTTTTTTTTATTAACACACTGGCCGATTCCCACAAAGACAGGGTGGCCCGAAAAAGAAAAACTTTCACCATCATTCACTCCATCACTGTCTTGCCAGAAGGGTGCTTTACACTACAGTTTTTAAACTGCAACATTAACACCCCTCCTTCAGAGTGCAGACACTGTACTTCCCATCTCCAGGACTCAAGTCCGGCCTGCCAGTTTCCCTGAATCCCTTCATAAATGTTACTTTGCTCACACTCCAACAGCACATCAAGTATTAAAAACCATTTGTCTCCATTCACTCCTATCAAACACGCTCACACATGCCTGCTGGAAGTCCAAGCCCCTCGCACACACAACCTCCTTTACCCCCTCCCTCCAACCTTTCCTAGGCTGACCCCTACCCCGCCTTCCTTCCACTACAGACTGATACACTCTTGAAGCCATTCTGTTTCGCTCCATTCTCTACATGTCCGAACCACCTCAACAACCCTTCCTCAGCCCTCTGGACAACAGTTTTGGTAATCCCGCACCTCCTTCTAACTTCCAAACTACGAATTCTCTGCATTATATTCACACCACACGTTGCCCTCAGGCATGACATCTCCACTGCCTCCAGCCTTCTCCTTGCTGCAACATTCATCACCCATGCTTCACACCCATATAAGAGCGTTGGTAAAACTATACTCTCATACATTCCCCTCTTTGCCTCCAAGGACAAAGTTCTTTGTCTCCACAGACTCCTAAGTGCACCGCTCACCCTTTTCCCCTCATCAATTCTATGATTCACCTCATCTTTCATAGACCTATCCGCTGACACGTCCACTCCCAAATATCTGAATACATTCACCTCCTCCATACTCTCTCCCTCCAATCTGATATCCAATCTTTCATCACCTAATCTTTTTGTTATCCTCATAACCTTACTCTTTCCTGTATTCACTTTTAATTTTCTTCTTTTACATACACTACCAAATTCATCCACTAACCTCTGCAACTTCTCTTCAGAATCTCCCAAGAGCACAGTGTCATCAGCAAAGAGCAACTGTGACAACTCCCACTTTATGTGTGATTCTTTATCTTTTAACTCCACGCCTCTTGCCAAGACTACTAGTTTATAAATTATTTATCTAAAGCATAGATGTGGGAAATGATGAAGACTCGATCATCCTCATAGGGCGTGATTCCCAATCTCCAGGATGAGAAACTCGGGTGTCTCCACCTGGCAGCAGAGGGTGAGTATGTACTGTATAAATAATGGATAGACAGACTGTTGATAGCATTCCAAGGCCCCATTAGATACCCACATCTGGAGTGGTTTCAGAGCCTAATTGGGAAATATAAACTTGTTGAAATTGCTTTTAATCAGTAAGAGAAACTCATCATCCTCAGGTAACCAATCAGAAAGCCCCAATTCTTTCCCAATGGGAGTGAGGAGATGAGATGTAAATTGTGCATTTCCAGACTTGGAAATGGGTGGTTTCCAGTCACTCATAATGTAATTACTTTGGGAATTACTTTGAAAAAGTCATAACAACTACAATACAGCAAAACTCACAGGGGTAAAAAGGTCTTAGAAAGAGCTAATCTATAACATACAAGAAACACATCCAAATCCTTCCAGCATTTCTACTGTAGGTCAGTAAAAGCTTTTAGTTAAAGTTTATTCATTACCAAGCAATATAGCACCAGCTTTAATAAAATTTGATTTAAATGGTATTTTAACAACAAGTATGAGAAAAAAAGAGGTCAGTAAAAGCTTTTACTGACCAGCTTTAATAAAACTGAATTATGTAAATGGTATTTTAGTAACAAATAGTGAAGAAAAAAAGTTGATAACAAGCTTTTATTGGGAAAATTAAAATGCTTTGAAACTTTATCATAAATTTCATTGTGCTCTTCATAAATAATATGGGTTTTAAAAAAACTACAGCTGTTTACATTAATCTGTAGCTTTTATTAATTTTATTTTTGTTTTTATTGTGTATATGTGTGTACTCGCCTATACGTATGTGGTTGTGTGTGTACTTACCTATATGTGGTTGTATGTGTGTGTGTACCTACCTATATGTGGTTATATGTGTGTGTGTGTACATACTCACCTAGTTGTGGTTGCAGGGGTCGAGTCATAACTCCTGGCCCTGCCACTTTACTGGTCGTTACTAGGTCCACTTTCCCTTCCACACAAGCTTTATCAAACCCCTTCTTAAGGCTGTGTATGGATCCTGCCTCCACTGCATCATTCTTCAGATTGTTCCACTTCCTGACAACTCTGACTGAAGAAATACTTCCTAACATCCCTGTAATTCATCTGAATTTTCAATTTCCAGCTGTGACCCCTTGTTGCTGTGTCCCATCTCTGAAACATTCTGTCCCTGTCCACCTTATCAGTCAGTTCCTCTCAGTATTTATACAGTAGGGCCCCACTTATATGGCAGGTTAGGTTCCAGGCTACTACCGGAAAGCAGAAATCGCTAGAAAGCAGAACGCCATTTTTTTTCCATTTATAAATGCATATAAATGCCTGATAACAAGTTTACACTAACATATACATGTACAGTATTAACTTAGCAATAGAAGTAGGCATTAAAAACAATAAAAAGTAAAATGCACACACAGTACACCCATTACTTACCTTAAAGTATTTGTAGTCTTAATGTAGGGTGACCTGGAGTTTACCTGGAGAGAGTTCTGGGGATCAATGCCCCCGCGGCCCGGTCTGTGACCAGGCCTCCTGGTGGATCAGAGCCTGATCAACCAGGCTGTTACTGCTGGCTGCACGCAAACCAACGTACGAGCCACAGCCCGGCTGGTCAGGAGCCGACTTTAGGTGTTTGTCCAGTGCCAGCTTGAAGACTGCCAGGGGTCTGTTGGTAATCCTCCTTATGTATGCTGGGAGGCAGTTGAACAGTCTCGGGCCCCTGACACTTATTGTATGGTCTCTTAACGTGCTAGTGACACCCCTGCTTTTCATTGGGGGGATGTTGCATCGTCTACCAAGTCTTTTGCTTTCGTAGTGAGTGATTTTTGTGTGCAAGTTCGGTACTAGTCCCTCTAGGATTTTCCAGGTGTATATAATCATGTATCTCTCCCGCCTGCGTTCCAGGGAATACAGGTTCAGGAACCTCAAGCGCTCCCAGTAATTGAGGTGTTTTATCTCTGTTATGCGTGCCGTGAAGGTTCTCTGTACATTTTCTAGGTCAGCAATTTCACCTGCCTTGAAAGGTGCTGTTAGTGTGCAGCAATATTCCAGCCTAGATAGAACAAGTGACCTGAAGAGTTTTGAAGGTTCTCATTATCCATCCTGTCATTTTTCTAGCAGCTGCGATTGATACAATGTTATGGTCCTTGAAGGTGAGATCCTCCGACATGATCACTCCCAGGTCTTTGACGTTGGTGTTTCGCTCTATTTTGTGGCCAGAATTTGTTTTGTACTCTGATGAAGATTTAATTTCCTCGTGTTTACCGTATCGGAGTAATTGAGATTTCTCATCGTTGAACTTCATATTGTTTTCTGCAGCCCACTGAAAGATTTGGTTGATGTCTGCCTGGAGCCTTGCAGTGTCTGCAATGGAAGACACTGTCATGCAGATTCGGGTGTCATCTGCAAAGGAAGACACGGTGCTGTGGCTGACATCCTTGTCTATAATAATAATAATAATAATAATAATATCTTTATTTACTACAAGTACATGTACAAGGTATACAGTCCTAGCTGACATCAATGACATACTACTACATAGAAACTCCCTTGTTATGCTCTGCATTTTGGGCAAATTAGGTCAGTGTCCCGGGATGCGACCCACACCAGTTGACTAACACCCAGGTACCCATTTTACTGATGGGGAACATAGACAACAGGTGGAAAGAAACACGTCCAATGTTTCTACTCTGGCTGGGAATCGAACCCAGGCCCTCGCCGTGTAAAGCGAGAGCGTTAGCCACCAGGCCACCAGAGCCCTATGTCAGATATGAGGATGAGGAACAAGATGGGAGCGAGTACACTGTGCCTTGTGGAACAGAGCTTTTCACCGTAGCTGCCTCGGACTTTACTCTGCTGACTACTACTCTTTGTGTTCTGTTTGTGAGGAAATTATAGATCCATCGACCAACTTTTCCTGTTATTCCTTTAGCATGCATTTTGTGCGCTATTATGCCATGGTCACACTTGTCAAAGGCTTTTGCAAAGTCTGTATATACAGTGGACCCCCGCTTTACGATCAGCTCCCAATGCGACCAATTATGTTTACCTGGAGTTTACCTGGAGAGAGTTCCGGGGGTCAACGCCCCTGCGGCCCAGTCTGTGACCATCCCTCCTGGAGGATCAGAGCCTGATTAACCAGGCTGTTACTGCTGGCTGCACGCAAACCAACGTACGAGCCACAGCCCGGCTGGTCAGGAGCCGACTTTAGTTGCTTGTCCAGTGCCAGCTTGAAGACTGCCAGGGGTCTGTTGGTAATCCCCCTTATGTATTCTGGGAGGCAGTTGAACAGTCTCAGGCCCCTGACACTTATTGTATGTACATGCGTTTGTATGTGTATGTTTGGGGGTCTGAAATGGACTAATCTAATTCACAATATTCCTTATGGGAACAAATTCGATCAGTACTGGCACCTGAACATACTTCTGGAATGAAAAAATATCGCAAACCGGGGGTCCACTGTATTACATCTGCATTCTTTTTGTCTTCTAGTGCATCTAGGACCTTGTCGTAGTGATCCAATAGTTGAGACAGACAGGAGCAACCTGTTCTAAACCCATGTTGCCCTGGGTTGTGTAATTGATGGGTTTCTAGATGGGTGGCGATCTTGCTTCTTAGG